GAAGCTGCCTGAAGTGCAAATTGCCAGCTAAGGAATCCATACACTGCAACAACAGTACCTCTTACAGTGTAATTCAATAATAAGACAAGAGGCAAAGAAACCCTCTCCCCATGAAAACCTGAAGTACTTATCAGATGTATGCAACAGGTACACAGTTCAGTTCACATGAGCAAACCACTTAGACCTTCTCTGGTCACCTGATTTCCGCAAAGAAAGCATAATTATCCTCCCAGCAAGCAAACTAGAGTTTTACAGCCCTCCCTTCCAAAGCTCTCACTGTCGCGATCTGAAATCCTTCAAGATTCTCATGGCAGTTTACAACAGCCTTCTGCAGGCAACTTTTACACAAGAACTCATGAAGAGCAGAAACAAAACAAACAAGACTGAATGCTGCACTAAAGAAAACAGATCCACGTGATCCAACAGGGGTTAAAACTAGGACGATCCCTAGTCAACGGAGAGATGGGGTTCCCTCCCATCCAAAGAGCTGCAAAAAGCCATAACTGAAAATAGACCTTCATAAAGAACATGGGCAAAACTTTATGCAATGCTGTGCAAGCACCTATTTACTAAAAACACACTGTACTTATTTGTTCCTTTTATGACTTGTAAAATTCTACTGTGTATATATTAATCTGTAATTACAAACTGTCATAAAGCAGATTCTGACCACTATAAGAATGCTTACAAAGATACACGGAAGTGTGAAAAATGGGAAAAATACAATATACCTAACAGATATTCTTTTGCCTCCCCTCAAACCTCTCTTTACAACATTTCCCACTTGTTTTATGCATCCTGTAACAGGGATCCAGTCTGATTTTAACAGCCTAATTAAAATGTTTCTAAACCCGTGAGACATGAGGAGTGGAAAATGGAGTAATAGTAATGTAGTCCTTTTCATTTTTAAACACAGTCGTTTTCTACAATTCATACAGTGATGAGTGGATATTAGCAACTTCTTTGCTTGCCCCTTAGCTGACCCTCCTGTGAGTCAGTACTCACATGACTTACTCTGGGTATCCAAACCATGAATTTATAAGGGCAACATGCTCTGCCAGTGATGGGTAGCTAATGCAAAACTCCTGTCAAAATCCCAAGACAACAAAGTAGAAGGATGAAGTCTCTAACCTACACACAAGCATGACCATGAACCATATTAGTAAGCAGTAAGTTTGTCACTTGATCTTTGTCCAATTGATATGAAGCTTTATAAAAGAATGGAGAGAAAAAAAAAAAAGAAACATCAAATTCTGTATTTTCAGACATGCAAATAAAAAAAGACCTATGCCAAACAAAATGACACAGGCAACGCTGGTTCAGAGCCCGACTTTCAAAGCATCAGAACTTTTCCTATATTTCCCTTTGGTTACTATTTGTGATAATATTTTAATCACATATAAATTAGTCTAGCTAAGCAAGTCTGTCAAGTTACCAAATAGTCTAATAAATCCGTCCCTCCACACTTTAGGAAATTTTCTCGCTTTTTTCAGTGGATTCTTGGTACCGGGAGGGGTGGATGGATGAACAGCGATTTGACTAAAACCAGCTGACCTCTCCCTACAATTCATTTCAATAAAACTGTCAATACACGGAAGCGCCCTCACGCTAGAGGGAAACGTTGTCATAGCACCCCAATTGCTCTGCTCGGACGGGTGAGAACACCGACCCCTGCAGCGGGGCACCTGCGGCGTGCGGGGCGCCTTCCACCCCCTCCCCGCTTTCCAACCCGCCAACCGAACGCCG